TGGCGCTTAAACCTGACTTCTTGGCTCTACACGAACAGCCCCTGAAGTGAATATTGTGACTTAACCATGAAAAGTAAAAGGAAAAGAAAACAGAAAATTGACTTGTCAAATCGGAGTTTAAATAATACAATGGCGGATTTAAAAGGAAACTCGCAGTGGAAGTGATCGTCCTGCTCCATGTCACCGTCCTCTCCATACCAAATGTCTCCTCAGGGCGATGGGGACTACAAGACTACAGCCGTGTCCCCTGCTCCCCCGGTGCCGCCAAGGAGGCTGCGGGGCCAGGATAGAGGCTTGGACAGGACGCTGCGGCCCGGAGCAGGTTCATCGGGCCCCGGGGCTCCTGAGAAGCGGGTGAAGTGTGTACTTGTGGGGGACGGGGCTGTGGGTAAAACCAGCCTGGTGGTCAGCTACACCACCAACGGGTACCCTACTGAGTACATCCCCACGGCCTTTGACAACTTCTCAGGTTATTGTTTATTCTATGTAACTCATGCTTTCTGTAACTTTGTTATATTTTCTGTATTTTCCTGCATTTATTTAGGCCATGTCACTAGTGTCTTTTAACCTTTAGACCTAATGTTTATTCTTTAAATTGTCTTTTCATTGTAAGCATGTTCTTTTACCTTTGTACATAATTTATTCATCATTTGTTATCTGTTTTTGTAGCAGTGGTATCAGTAGATGGACATCCTGTCAGACTCCAGCTCTGTGACACTGCCGGACAGGTCTGTGATCTCACTTTACTGCTGTCAACTACATTTTCTGCTATTTGAATCCAAATAGGAAATCAAATATAGAAGTCTGGTCTATATGTAGCTTATGTTGTGCCATACATTGCTCAAAATATTGTGTTGTCTTTGTTTGGAGAAATATCCTAATATACGGGAAGTGCATTTCATAACTGTCTAGAAGTGATGAGGGTCTGTAAACTAAATATATCACAAGCCAACTGTTTGTTGTCATAGCCCAACATTGTCATGAAGATCAACATTGTTAAATATATTTATTTAATTGATATTATTATTTGATCTGTTAAAGCTGTGGACACATTGTGAATTTAGTTTTTGTTTCTAGGATGAGTTTGACAAGCTGCGTCCACTGTGCTATTCCAGTGCAGATGTTTTCCTGTTGTGCTTCAGTGTCGTCAGTCCTGCTTCGTTCCAAAATGTCCCTGAAAAGTGGGTCCCGGAAATACGGACATATGCCCCTCATGCTCCTTTAGTTCTGGTTGGGACGCAATGTGATCTCAGAGAAGACGTTAAGGTTTGTGACTCTAGGTGGAAATATCATGTGATTTATCAACTGTTATGATCAAATCTAGTCGTTATTTATTCTACTGCTGTGAAGCCTACTGTAGTTTTTTTGGTTTGATATTTTTTTTACAGCTCTAGTCAAAGGGCATGTTTAACAAACTGATCTTGCCCAATGGTATGTTATGTTTGTAATCAAGTAGACTATTTTAATAATAATAATAATAATAATAATAATAATAATAATAATGCCTTGCACTAATGTGCTTAACAGGCTTTACATAGCCTCTCAAAATGCTACACTGCAGTCATTATTCATTCACTCACTGCATACTCAGGGGAGGGTCTGCCACATGCTTGTCTCCAAGGAGTTTTTTTTATTGCCTTGTCAGGGATCTTAGTTAAAGTTAATCTCTCCATCTCCATAGAAAAAGAATAAGTAAACTAAATTTGTGAATAAATAAAGCTTAAATGTAGCTAGGCATGTTTAATGCCATTATAGAATATTGTGGAATATTGCGGGTAAAGAAATAACACATTTAATGAATGAAATGTATATATTTTATAGGTTCTTATTGACCTGGCTAAATACAGAGAGCGACCGGTAGATCCAGCAGAAGCCAAGGACTGTGCGATAGAGATTGAAGCTGTGACCTACATCGAGTGCTCTTCACTAACTCAAAAGAACCTAAAAGAGGTGTTTGACTCTGCCATATTAGCAAGTCTGAAGAACTACAACTCCCAGAAGTCTGTCAGAGGGAAAAGACCTAAGAAATACAAACAAACACCAGACAAGATGAAGAGTCTTTCAAAGTCATGGTGGAAAAGTTACTGCTGTGTTACTTAAAATACACTCCTGCTCCTGGTCAAATACTATACTTTTCCCAATTCTGCCTAAAGATAGAAAAGTTGCCTCTGTGTGAGGTATAATCGGACTATACAAACTCACACAAACGGTAGCTGATATAATACTTTACTAATATGTATGTTGAATCCTACTGGGGCCAAACTGGAAATCTTTCTCTTTTGCTGATTTTGATATTTTAACACGAGTCAGTATTTTACATTTAACATGCTTTTTTCATGTTTAAATAAATTAAAATTTCTAAAATGTAACTATATATGGTAGTACTTTTGCATAGGTACCTGTTACTCAAATGTGAACCACTCATCTCATAATTAAGTATTAATGGACCTGAGCCATTTTGAGAAACCACTAGTTTTCGGCTGTTTTTTTTTTTTTTTACAGCATCCTTTTGAGGCTGGAGGCGCTGATTATTCATGTAAGGTTGCAAACAAGTCAAGCTTATCTATCCAAAAATATGAAAAGTTATGGGCCCAGTGTTCTGTATGTGTGGATTTTATATACAAGAATTCATGTCAGTTGATTGAATGCAATAAATGGTATTTTGTACAGTAGTACAAAGGAGGACACTTGTACTTGAACAAAGGAGGACCGTTTTCGTGGCATGGTACATGGCATTGTGAAGAGGTGTATGTTTGTAGCCTGATATTTCTGGATTGCTGTTTTTTTTGCCAAAGATGTTGCAAAAAGTGAGCGCAGTTTCTCTGACCAATGATGTAAGTGGGCTAAATGTCCCAATAGTATTTGTATTTGCCAAAGGAAATATAAAGTGATTAAAGATACAGCAACATAGCTTAAGGTGGAGGTCAAAATAAACTAAGAAAAACAGCATTGTGAGCTCAAGGGAATGAGAAAGTTAAAAAGTGAGCATATTTTGATTGTTCAAAAAGCAGCTCTGTCGGTCCTCATTTTTTGACAGATGTGTATGAGAAGAGAGAAGTCCTTGAAAGTGACGTTTTAGAACTGATTCAGATGGGAATTCAATACAGCTTGGTTATCATGTTTTATTTCCTGAATCCACTGACCTCTGAATTTCACACACAACTTGAATCACATCTATTGTGTAAATAATTGTAAAATGTATTGCCTGTTTTTATTTCCTATATGCTATTGCAGACATGGTTCTTGTTTTCTAGCAGTTTTATACTCTGAAAAATAAAGATTATTCGCCTTAATTAATTCTTGATATTAAAACTTTTTGTACATGATTTTAAAATTGTGCACCAAAATGTTGGTGTTTTTACAAGTCAGTTCAAGGATTAGTGTATTAACAATCTAGGATTATCATGCAAAATTCATAGTCAAAATGTACTGTAATAGTGACGGTGAATGTATACTAATTACTCAAAGTCATTTTTTTTATACACTATAAAATGATGATTTCACTTCATAAGGCTCCTTGCATGCTGTGTTCAGCTGATGCACTCATAATAAAAGGGGCTAATGTTGTGGCTTTGGAGTTTGGGGCATGGAAAGCACCAGCTCAGACAGACTCACACACTTCAGGCTCTGTGCACAGACAAACTGTTGGATCACAGGCATTGAGCGGATTATGCAAGAGTTTTATTTTGAAGGCGCCATGTGACATTTGGTAAGTGTAACTTTGCATTTAGACTCCTAAATTTTCTAGTGGAAGGTTGCCACTTACTACATCTCTCCAAGATGTTAATGGATTACCTGTCATGTTCCACAGTGTGGCATTAAACACATCTGTCTTGCACATGTTCAGTTATAGGTTTATTACTATGAGTGGCGTTGCCTCTCCACAGATCTAACCTTTGACTTGGCCCTGTAGCATCACCTTCTTGTCTCCATGAAGATAGATATGTTTAATGCCATACTGTGGAACATTCCGGGCAAAGCAATAACATTTCAATTGTGTGTCTTTAATAAACCAATAAAATCTAACCTCATGAAATTGACATGAAACAATCCAAATCTCCATTTTGAGAAGATCTTGGTACACTCAGAAAACTGACGCTCAGTTTATAATTGTACATCTTTCTCTCCTTGTGTCTCTGTGTTACATAATGCAGAGGGCGGGGTCACTTTGGTGCTGACCCTACACAGGCGCAGCTGAAACTAAATCTTTAGAGGGTGAAGAAAGAGAGTGAAGTTTGCATAATATGGATAAAAAGACTGACATATGGAAAGAACAGATAAAACAATGTAGTCTTCAGAATGTAACAGGAAGTGAGGGAAGGTTAACCAAACTGGGTGGCATTGAAATAGGTGACATGTAGTCAACAAACAAATAAACATACATAGACCCATGTTACATTATATGCAAACATAAATAGCCTTCAACACTGTGTTAATGGAGTGTGCAGGAAGGGCATCTGGTGTAAACCTACAGCAGATGATTTGTGGTGGAAAGGCTTATTGGTGTTTGGGTTTAGAAGTTGAGAGTTCAAACAGGCCTATGTAAGGAAGGTATTTATTGATTGTATATAAAGGTACAGTATGCAAATCTGGTCCCCATGACGCAAATCCTTAAACATGAGATAAACAACGTATATGGGTTAATATATGGGTTAACTAGGTTAAATTTGGGGTTAGGTTAGGCAAGTTGTAATTGTATTTCAATTCATTGTCCCCAAAAAGTACAGAAACCTAACAGGTGTGAGTGTTCTCTCTTTTTTGACACTATATGTCATGTCAAGTAGCAGACAACTAACACTTTTTTGTTAGTCCAAGTCTAAACACATTAAAAAGATTCACAAAGACCTCATAAAGCATGTCTTGTAAAGCTGAAAATTCTGTTGTTACTATAACATTAACAATCATGTTTCTGAACTCTTAACTCTGTGTCTTCTGGGATTGAGGATTTTAGAGTGATACTGGGAGGTGGGAGAGCACAGCCTCCCTCTGTGGCCTCTGAACCAGATGTAACCAGCTGGCACACCCGGTCACCAGGCTTTTGGCCAGAGCTTTTGTCCTGTTTTCAACCAGAAGAGGGGAAACAAAACAAAAACAGAAAACAGGGCCTTGTGAGGTTAAAAAACACATCTCCAAGGGACCACTGCCTCTCTCATGTCTCAGGCCTTAAATCCTTTCTACCCATTAATGAGGTATATAAATCTCTGCATGGATGGGCTCTCCCTCTGAAGACATAGGGAGTGTGTGAGAAATGGGAGGTAATTATTGTGTGTTGTTGTCTACATGTGTCAGTATTAATGCAGAGCAGACACTGGGAGAGGACTGTAACATTTAAGGAGCATCAGAGAGTCTGAGTCATGGCAGGCCAGTTCACTCACGGGTCACTAAATCTTAAATCTGTTACAAAATTGAGTTTTTCTTGTAAAGGGAGAGTTCTATTAGTGTCCCACTAATTCTGTAGAATGTATGATTTTGCTGATTTAACCTTTTTTTTTTTTAACCTTCAGAAAATGGTTACTTGATGGAATGTTTAATGATGTAGAAGTCAGTATGTTTCAATTTTTTTGTCTCATCCTTTATCACAAACTGTCACTTTACGAATAATTGAAGTATATGATAAATATTTACTATAGGTACTATCCCAACATTTTGGGTTGCTATGTCCTGTGGCAAAAACTGTGTGATAAAGAGGGTTTTTTTTTATGGTCTCAATACTCGAGTAAAATCCTAATACCTGTCACCAGTTATGAATTCAGTGCATTGACCGAAAAAAGTGTGCAAAGCCAAATTTAGCTAAATTAAGTGATGTCTAACTGCTAATAAACTTGCAACATCTTTTGTTTGAGGAAACATTTGTCTCATAAACTATACTGAGTACATAAAGTAAAGCCCTGGTGTAGTTCAGATCTGTTAATGTAAGAGTATGTTGAAGATCAAACAAAGGGCACAGTAGTTTTCTGTCTCTTATCAGTGACGTTACAGCCCACACATACCCTGATCCAGCATGCTATCTTCACAGGTGTGTTTGACATACCTGAGCAGGTACGTATTCCCCAGCTACAGCACTGCCAAGTAAATGTTCTTGTAAATATCCTCTACTTTGGTCTTATCTCAGTTTATCTTTCATTTGCAATTCCTCTGTTGAGTAACACAGTTGCAACTGGTGCATATTTGATAAACAGTGTGTAATATTCTAATCTAATATGTGCTAGTGAGCTTTACATTGTACAATCTCTGAAGAAACAAGCTGGACTGAGGGAAGTACAAGGACAGGAAGGCCACAGACTGAAAAAATGACAGGAAAAGAGGAAAAGAAAAAAAGGAAAATCCAAATGGGAGGATAGGGAGTGAAGGAAGAGGACCGGATTTGTCTGTTTGATAAGCAGATGCTGATGTCATGTGGATGGTGTGCCTGTATGTGACACATCGATAATGCCTCCAGCTGAAGGGTCTCATAATATGAAGAGAGAGATTCATAAACATTTTCCAGATATCCACGCCACGTGTAGCCGTTGGAACAAATGCCCTTCTCGTGCTTCAGTTTGTGCCTCTAAAAGACCTTGAAGACAAACTAAATTTGACTTTATATAAATGCCTGTGCCTGACCACTGGAATGGGTCATTTTGAGCACAGTAAAGTGCATCAGGGCTAGACCAAAAATGAAAATGATGAATGCCTCTAAATACAACCTGCTATTGTGGTCCCCGTTTCTATTTAGGACTTGCTGACCGTACAGTTGCATTTGAAATAGGCAGGATAACTTTGTAAGCAGGCTATATTGGATTATGACTACATATAGCCTACGGCATGTGCATTAACTGTTTATAGGTTATGATACTATAAAAAAAACCTGAAATATGGCAGATTTTGCACTAACAGTATTGACTACAAAAAATAACTTTCAAGCCCATCTGTGTTTAGATTGAAGGACAGCGCATTCCCTTTCATGTTTTCTCTTATCCCTGCAGTAATAATATTGATCCATATGAGGACGGTAAAGAATGAGACTGAGGTACGATGTAAAGACTTCAATGCACCCTGGTGTGTAAAAAGGCGGGAACCTCACGATTGTTATGAGGCTCTGAGTAATAATCGTTGACTTTTTAAATTTTAGAGTCTTTGCTGCCACCCACAGGATTGCACGTGAAACTGCAAACACCTTAGCACCACAGACAAAAAAGAAACTTAGGATTATTTAAAAAATGTATTTGTATGTACTTACATACTGGTCTCAAAAGAGTATGCACCAAATGTCACACTGAGTCACAATTACAAAGAAAAGCTTTTTTTTTTCGATTACAAGTATTGAAAAACTATGTACATAAAAAGGGCATGGTGTTAAGATAGAACATGAAAACAAATGCACAGCCAAACAAAATGGTTTAACAGGAATCTCAAAGACTAAATCAACAGTTACATTGAATTGGTGCTTTGAAAGATCTATCCACTTGTAAATTATAGTACACCCACTGGCAGATAGCTTAAGAATGTGCACAATATATATATTTTGTCTGGCCAGGAACAAAATAATCAAATCATGGACATCTGCTAATTTGAACTATTAAAATCTGAGTTTAGAAGTAGCAGACAGGTCATTTACAACTTTGAAACGAAATATCTGAACAGTCAGTGTCCCGCTGCAGTAGTGCTCTCATGATCGACTTACAATACATTTGTCGCTGCCGTTCGTTTCCCCAATACCCAATCTTACATACAGTATATTTATGTTTGCTCTCAAAAGCTGGTGTTTAACCATTTGGAAATGTACAGATCAGAACAGACTACATAAACACAGGAATGAATGGTGACATACATATGTGATGTGCTCAAATGCTGTTGTACAGAAACCAGCCAGAAAAGGCTCATTGCTTTTAAACCAAGTAAATGCTCAAAGGGAAAATATATCAAAATGGCTAATTTAACCTTCAGATGCTACTTCTAATCCTCCATTTGGGAGGGGTGGAGTCTCATCAACACACTCCAACTGCATCCCCAGTGGGAACCCAAAACCTTGACCAACACATGCAACACAAGACAGACATCTTTCCAATGCCTCATAACAGTTTTTACACCTGGTTTTGATTTGAACAGGCAACTCTCATTTTAATATTAATCTATAATTCCAGTTTTAGATATCTACAGGAAACAGAAAAATGTGGCACTTTTAAACACATATGTATTGTAAAATGCTCTGTACACATTTTGCATGTCAAAACTGCACTGTGTTACAAGCACTCCCCCTTGTCAATTCATGTTGAGGTAAATCCAACAAAAGCATAAAGTAGTCAGGGCAATAAGGCTTTCATAGCTACAACATAATTTTACTCATACAGTTTCTTTCTAGTTACCAGAAAGATTTTGTCCATTACTCTGCTGTATAAAAGGCTAAATATGTCTGGTATTGTTACCAAGATAAGAAAAAAAAGTGGTAATTGAAGTAAAAATCCAACTAATTAATGTCAATGACGATGCAGTGTGAGGATACATTACTGGTCCTACAGGAGGAGCTCATGGTCTTTGAGGTATCAATCCCGTCTTGGATAGATGTGTATCTGGTGTGTTGGGGCGGTCTGGAACCAGCTTCCTGGGATGTCTTTCCTGGTCATTTTAGTCACTCTTAGCTTTTTTACTGTCGTTCCCATTCTTCTCCGGCTCACAATCTCCTGACTCCTCCTGGAGCTTCCTCTTTTTAGTTTCATCTGAGTCGCTCTGGATAGCAGAGGGGTAGGCCTTGAAGGTAACTATCATACAGGTCATGTTATCACATCCTGTCCCATCTCCGGACGTATCAGGAGCCAAACAGTGATCCAACAACTGCAATCAGCACATTACAATATATAAGAAAATACCATTTCTACTTCAATCAATTTCAAGCAACAACAGTAAAAGCTTTTTTTTTACCTCTTCAACTATTGATGACAAAGATCTTGTTTTACCACTCTGGTCTGGTTTCATCCTTTCACTAACAAAGTCAACAACTTCCTGACTGCTCAGCACATTCCTGTGAACACAACCAATAAGATTTATGTTATTCTTCAAATATATTTAGAAATGTGAAATATTTCTGCTTACCAAATTCCATCACAGGCAATGACCATGAAGTCGTGCTCCTCGTTCAGAGTCAAAACCTTAACGTCTGGCATAGCAGAAATCATCTGTTCCTCTGGAGGCAGCGCCTTGTTTCTTTTATAAAAGTGATCACCTAGTGAATAAAGTTAATCTATTATGGTTTGTTTGCTTACAAATGTAGTACTGCTTATTTTGCCTGGCAGTTGCAAATAATACATAAAGTATAAAATAAAAATATGCATACTTTGAACTCTAAGACACCTGAAAGTGATAAAACTTTTTACCAATAGCTCTGGACAAGTTGAGACCCCCATTGACTCTGCCGTCCATGGTCACCTTTCCTCCAGCATTTTTAATACGAGCCAGTTCCAGCTCATCCTCTGGCTTGTGGTCATATGACATATCTACAGCTTTTCCTGTGACACAATGGTTGAAAAAACAATATAATTACAAATTTAACAGATCTTCAATAAAAAAATTAAGAATGATGTTAAAGGCAAAGAGGGCCTTACCGCGCTCAGAAACCACACATCGAGAGTCTCCAGCATTGGCTACAATCAGCTGCTTTCCCCTGATGAGTGCCACAACAGCCGTGGTACCACTGTCTGAGCCAGGCTGGAAATACATACAAGGTTAATGTTGAAATCCAGTTTAATAACTTAAACTATAGCAAATGTTTACACAGATGAGAAGTACCTCTTCCTTTCCGTCCATGCCTGGTAAACACATCTCTTCTTCATCCTCATCCTCAGAGTCTTCCTCTCCCTCCTCTGTGTCCTCCTCCTCCTCTGCTTCACTGCTTTCTCCTTCTTCACTACCATCCTGAGAGCAATAAAATGCGTGATCAAGCACACCAATCTTAATATACAGGTTAAATTAATTTTGAACAGAATGGCTCACCTCTTCACTGCCCTCTTCCTCTTCTCCTTCGTCCGATTCTTCACTGTCATCAAAAAATCTGGACTTTGAAGCGCTGCTGGCCTTGGATGTTAAAGAAGAGCATGAGGGCCCTGCATCGCCTTCTGCTTTACCAGCCTTCTCTTCCCCATTAGAGCTGCCACCAACCCCATCTAGTAAGAACAAATCATTGGTATTAGTGAATTTAACTTAAAGTACTCTGAATAGCTCCTGGTTATATTTTTAGTCACCTACCTGCTTCACTTCCTGCACTCGCGGCTCTTCTACAGGCCCGTACTTTAGACCCACATGCTTTTCCGCAGCCTTCACTGGTTTTTCCATTGCTCTCCTCCTCCACTTCTCCATTTACACCCTCCTTCTTTTGCCCCTCGCTGCCACCTGCTTCTTCTCCAGAGGCACCAGCACTTGCTTTTTTAGCTGCAGCACTATAGCAAGAACAACAAAAGAAAATAGTTTAAAAATTTAGTTTTTGCTTAATATGCAAATATGTAAACACTCTTCACTATAAATAATATTTTTGTACCTCCCAGCATGTTTAACTGCATTGCGATTTTGTCCGTATCGCACAAGTAACTCCTCAATAGTCATGGTTGCCTCCTCATGAAGCAGAGCTGCCTCTTCTTTGTCCACTTTTAAAAGAAAAAGCAGTTGACAACATCAACAAATTATAAAATAAATTAATGTTCAATAATTTATTAATTCCTTTGGCACTTACAGTCATCTTCCTCTGCAACTTTCTCAGTGGGTGGCTCTTCAGTTGGTCGGCCAGCAATCTGCACCAGCTCCTTGATGACTTCTTCTGTGGTCATTCTGCAGTCAATAGCCAAGAATGCGTCTTCAAGAGCCTATAGAAATATTAAAGGTTTAAGAATATAACTGTGATGAAATAGAAGATATTTTATTTATTGACTAACTTTTTGTAGTTTTCCATCTTTATAAGCCTTCTGCTCTTTGATGATATCTGGGAGATACTTTGAACAATACAAAGCCACTTCCTCACCTAAAGGGAAAAAAAAACATTTGTCATCAATGAGTTGAGCAGACTATGACAATATTTTTTGCAACATTGAGAAATGAAAAAATAGGTTGGACAGTTTGTAGAATCAAAGTACAGTATCAAGTTAAAAAAAAAAAGTACCTCCGTGTCCATCATAAACAGAGAACATAGCAGTGTCTTCATCGAAATCTGGAATACAGTTGTGAGCATCCTGCAAAACAGTGCAAAATTGCATTCGTACTGATTACTGAAACTTGCTTTCACATACGCCCAAAGTCACCATCAGCTGTATCGACTTTGTATGGAAAAGTACAACTAACGTGAAAACAAAACTTTGAAAAAGAACTGTGCAAATCACATTAACGCTTAATAACGCACAGCAGCAGAAATAATCAGTTTTCATGTAGAGACAACTGCATATAAAATGCAGATATTTAATTATAATTTCATAAATGCATATGTTATTGGAGATTAGATGTACATCTCACCTCCATCGACACACGCCAGCCTTGCATGGCAGAGAAGCCGTAGCTCAAGTTGTTGTTGCCGCCATCGGAGGAGGTCTTGCAAGTGTTGGGTTGTGACAGATAAGCCCCCATGTTTGTGAATTACTATGGCTTTAAACCTGAGAACACCCCAAAACACAACTCGTTAGGTCCTAAATATATCGATACACCTGTCACCCTGAATATTCTGGATAGGTACGGTTGCTAACTGGCTAATGTTAGCAACACAACAACAAAAAGTGAATGCATCAGCTAGCCCACATCATAATGCTAACCAGAGCAACCCGGCTAAACTTCCATTGTAAGCTCTGTCCACGCCATGAATACGGCTGCGCACTGGGTGAGACAACATATGTTCAACACATACGACTATTTTACCTGTCTGGGAGAGCAGGGAGAGCTTATGAAATGAGTCCAAAAAGAGTAATTCACATAGGACTTATTGCACGTGTGGAAGCAAATGCCGCTATCAACACAAACCAAAAGCAGCAAAAGCCGTGGAGGAAGTGAGCGGTGTGCGCCTGTGCATTTGGTCCGGGCGAGGGGGCGTGCATCTCGTTTTAATTTCTGCAGGAGATAAAGTTTGTGGTTTATTTTGTGAAACTCTCTATAGCGGACGTTTTCTTACAATATTAAATGACAGGAAGTAGTTAGTAGTTACAATGAAAGTATAAAGAACAAACAGACAAACCATGAGACACAAACCCATTTTGTTTATGGAACGATCTCTTGGCCGCTAGATGGCGCTACCCTGTTTCCATTACGAACATCCCCGGAAGCTGAGAAGAAAAACAACAGTTCAACATGGAGCGGGAAACACAGGTTATGGAGGTTTGTGAAAATGAAGACGAAAGTAGCCTCTCGCCATCCAAATTAAACATGTACGAGGCGCAGTTTTTCGGATTCACGCCCCAGACATGTGTTCTCCGGGTCTGTAACGCGTTTCAAGACTGTCTGTACGATATTTTACCCGTTGTGGAGAAAGTGTGCGTCCGACAACTGAGCTCTGAAGGGTCTGCCGAGGCCGACGAGCAGCTGAGGACCGGGGCTCGAGAGTGCAGCCGCAAACTGCAGCAGGTCCTGGAGGAGCGCTTCAGGCGGCTGTCGGAGCGCATGACACCGCTGCTGGTCCAACGGTGCCTCACCGTGCCACCAAATGTGCTTCTGCCCGAGGACCAGTCACACGAAAAGTACCCCCGGGCCGTGCAGGTAGCTCCCCGATCTAAAGGACTGTGTGGGTGAAAAATATGTGCCAATAAAGGTTCACTATATATTTTTTCTGTTGGTTGGTTCGTCACTTTTTACTTATTTCTATGGAAATGCTATCGTTTTGTATCTAATGTTCCACAGTATGGCATTAAAATGATTTATCTCAATGGAGACTGCACCAGACTCAAGTTACAGTTCAGATCTGTGGAAAAACAACCACAGTGTTGTTCAGGGTATTTTATCCAGCAATAAATACACTTGTGATTTAATAAATGCACAATAGTTCAATGTCATGCTATGGAAGGTAAAACATCGAGAAGATAAGCTGGTGGCAGATTCTCTACCATGAAACTTACATGGTTCAATTTGAAAATAAAACAGGTTTAAAACAAAGCATAGGTTGTGTTGTACTAAAATGTGGTTTTGTGCTTTTACTTAAAACTTGTATCACTTCTTGTTAGGAGGCCTTCAGATTGGAGTCGTCCATTGCTGAGCTCCAGAGAGTGTTTGAAGTGGAGGTGTGTGCCAGGCAGGCGTTGCTGGCAGAGCTGGAGGAGCAGAAGGAGGTGCAGAGACAGCTAGACGAGATCGTGACATGGGTCCAAGAGCTGCAGTTTGCTTGGGTGAAGGAAGGTAACAGCAGCTTTCGCGACTGTTTCCGAGTTATGATGGAGTCAGTAAAAAAACTGCAGAAAGCCCTCACTGAAGTCTACAACAAGGCACCCCACCAAATAGACTGAACTCTTTACAGATAATTCCTATCTCTCCACCTCATATATATGTGTTATGTGTATATATATGAGGTGGTTGTCACACATTGTCTGTGTCAGAGTAATTAACAATGACGTTAAAGCTGACATTTTAATCACTGGCTTTGGTTACATGCATGCTCAAAATCAGATTATTATCAGATTTTTTGACTATTACATGATTTTTCTGTTTACATGTTAATTTTGTTTTGAACACCATCCTCCTGAATCAGATTTTGTGTTTTACATGTGATTTAAATTATCTCAAAGGTAGAGAAATAAGATCATAATCAGAGTTTGGTGTGCATGTAAATTTAGCCATTGTTACTACTCTGATATCTGCTTAAGATGTACTCTTTGTATTATTTTATATTGTAACTTGTGTTTGTCACGTTTGTCAGAAATAGCTGTCTTTATGTTTGTTGGGGCATGTTAATAAATGTACAGCTCAAGTTTGAAAATTTTTGGATGTACTTAGTCAGTTTTACCACTAGGTTGCGCACTCTACATGTGACCATTTTAACTTTAAACTTTCTATATTGTTTGAAAACGCCACACATACTAACAGTTCATATATAAGAAATTACTTTTTTATGACATCAATCTTTGATGAATGTTCCTCTACTCTGCCGTTGTTTTCATTAATAAAAATAAAAAAAGGCAAAGCAACGAAAATAATAGGATTGCAAAAATTCTAGCAAATGAAAACACTTTAGTATGACAAGCCCCAATTTCACTGTAGCAGTTTATTTAGACTTTTTATGCACATTTGCAAACTAATATTGTATTGGTACATTTAAATGATCCTCATGAACACTTGTACAAGTTGTAAAAAGAATTCAGGAACTCACTTCAGTGCTGCCCGACAGCTGAAAATCAATTAACAAATTGGATTTGCTAATTTATCAGTAATATATGAGGTCATTAACTAAGCATTACTTTTAGGGGCTTACTATGAGTTGTCCATATCATCTACAAGAAACAAGCAAGAAAATGAATTCATTCATTAACTATTAAAAAACAAGTGTTTAAGTTATCTTTTGTTAAAAGTTATTTTGCCTAAATGAATAACATTTAGCATCTTCAGAGGTTCACAGGAATACATTCAATCCTCCTGGTTCGCTCTTTTAAACACTGTTTTTAGTATTGTTACATACATTGGCGGCATGTAACAATTCTACATGTAGCCAGTGGGGGGAAGCATATACTGCAGTTGCTGTGTGTCCCCAGCCTCATTTCAAGATGTGATTAAAAACTTGAAAATTGTAACGTCTAGTTACAGGAAAAGTGCAGTATTTCACCTGAAACCTAAACATGAGTGTCTCATTTATTATGTGATAAATTTCCAAAGTAAAATGACCTGGATTATCTGCTGAGCTGAAAGTGAAACCAGTGATTGATTGTGCTGAAGTCAGATATACAGCACCCACAGAAACAACCACAAGTTGAGTAACAACAAGTACATAAACACGACTTGTGTAAACGGTCAACATTTGTTTAGGGCACAGCATTCCTCAAACTCTGAAGGATTTGTTTTTGTGTTTTTGGTCCCACTGACCGTCATCAGCTGCAGATGGGGAAGTGTCGAGGCTGTTCAGTGGGTTGTTTTTGAGCTGTCCGGGTGCCATTGCAATAAAGTGCTTTTAAAACTATTTGGATTTTAGATATAGACCATATGGTTGAATTTCCCCACCTCAGGATTACAAGAAATACAAACAAACATACATAACAAGCAAATAAATTACACAAAAGATATATTTATTTTTAAAAAAGCCCAAAAACAAAAAAACACCTTTTCAACAACATTTTGCACAACACCAACAATATAAAAGCCGAGCCATCACACATTAACACCATGTAAAGAGTCCAGCAGTGCCTTTGTGAGCACAGCTGTCCAGTTGTTATCAGTGTGTCTGCTGCTACTATAAATCCTAAACTTTGCCCTGTAGCGTATGTGTGCGTCCCTCTGAAGCCTGTGAAGCTGTTGTCCAACTGCCCCAGTACACAGCTGTATGCAGCTGTCTGCACCAGTGTCTGGAGCCCACTGAAAGTGTGAAGATAAAGTAATCTGAATGGAAGAAGAAATGCTTCATTAGCAACACAGAGCAAGAGACGGCCAGACAAGTGTCATGACTCTAGAAAGAAAATGTGTTTGCATTTGAACAGGAGGGAAGACAAATACAGGAGAAATGTGTCATCTCTTTAAAGGACAATCTCAATCCTTTATACGGTGTTCTAAACTGCTTTATCTTTATTATGACCAGACTAAGGATTACTTCATCCATGTGATGGAGCATGTTACAAACAAATGTGAATAAATGCAGAATTTGTAATATCACATTGTTGTACATAAGCATGGGAAAGGTGAACAGGGCAAATGGACAGTGGCCTCCCTTCCTGTTGTAGGTCTCTGTAAACCACCGCTCGACCTTTGCTCTTTGGCTTCACACATACAGACTACAGCGACACATAGAAACTCACAGGGAGCCTTCGTCCAGTCACTGTCCAGCTGTCTGTAGTGTCTCACCCACGTATGCACTCAAGTATACAGCACTGAGAGGTGTGAGGGAATAGCCGGCGTGCAGTCTCTCCCTTTATTAAATAAAAATGTCTCTGATAATGGAACTCTAAGCTAATAATCGGAGTTAGTGACCATATTTTAAATTGAACAAAGAACCATAAATGGTACATTGAAAAAATGTATTTAAGCAAAAAAGTGTTATTAGTTATATTCAGACAGACGACAGATTTGAGGTGCAATTAACAACATTCACTTTAGCTGAACCCATCTAAATTAAACAAATTTATGAATGAATAATTCTATCTTTCTTTAAATATATCTGATTATTACAAACCAACTACACAGTGATTATTTTATGCATGATCGGGACTTTACCATGAATTGGGGCACAACTGGACGAAGACAGCAATACCTGAGCAGATCAAGACTGTTCCTGACTACCATATGCTCTTTATGCAATTTAAGCTGCTGAGGAGAATAGTGTCTAAAGCAAGTAAAAAGAAATCAAGAAGGGTGGGTTCCCAAAGCAGAGCAGGAGCATTAAGGACAGGGATGAGTTGAGCTGAGAGAGGGATGAAGGCCAAAAAAGTTGAGGAAGAGCAATGCAGCAGCTGGCAGGTGTCACCAGTTACAAAAGACCATCTGTCCATCCCATGCTATCAGTGCACACTTGCTTGAAAAAAACCCCAAAAAAAACAACTTTGATCTGCGCTTTTTAGAATGCCTGGACAGTACTGATCAAAAAAATATATGCACTCAAATTCAAACAACTTCAGAAAAAGATAGATTTTGCATTGATAAACAGGATAGATTTTTTGAAGATTAGATTAGTATATTTGTAGTCCAATTTTGAGTCTATGTGCTGTTGGCAGGAAGCTGTTGATCATTAGTAGCAGTAGTTCTGTAGACCAACTTTGGACATGGTGAACGTTGGTCTCTCTTGACTTCGTTTGATTGTTCCTCTTTCACCACATTTAGAGTAAAAAGTGTGTACCATTTCAGAGGTCCATAGCTACTGTATCTTCTTAACTCTCTTCTTAGCTTGCTATTCAATTGGTGATGAAATTGGCCATTCACTAGTGTTTCCTCTGGAAAGTCTTCTGTCACCTTTGCTGTCACATTTGGTTTAAAAAGTCTGTAGCATCTTGGAGGTACACAGCAAGCTTCTTTCGCGGTCTCCATGGGTACAGGAAAAACAAATGCCTCATTTCACACAATCCAACAGTCCTTTACTTGTGTCCCCTGAATTGCACATGCTGCACTTCTTGGTTGGTTAAAATCTCATGATGTTAGGAACTAAGCTCAAAAAACAAAATGTTTCAAAAGTTTGCGATGGTGCTAACATGCATTAACTTTGTATTGTTAAGCATGTCATTGGAAATACAGTGTCCAATTACAAGATCAAGTCAGCATTTGATTTTTATTTATATCTGCTTTTTGCTTTTTGGGATTGCATTGAAAATGGCAAGATTCAAGGTAGAACCTCATGTGGACCGCTTTGGACCTTCTCACTGCCCCTGTTCAGTTTGAGCAGTGAAAACAGTTTTAGATGGTGCCAATCTGCCCCATTAGTGATCCCCATGGAAGCATACCATAGTGCACCTTTAACTTGTTGGAAGTAGTTTTACAAGTTGAGTAAATTTAAATCTAATTAAGATTAAGTCAGAAACAGGTCCAGGGAAGCCAATATATTGACAGTCTCTGTATGTGTGTGATATAACTTTCTCTGAACTTTTTGTACTCGCACACACATTGTTGACCTTTGACCCTTCACCTCAAACTATTTGTCACTTGGGAACGTAAGGAGAGGATATGTGTTAGAATTGTCATGATGCTGCAAATATATCTTGGAGAGACAGTGACTCTTTGTTTTTCTTTTGTCAGAGTAAGATTATTTCTCCTTGCATAACCATAAATATGCAGAATTGGCTTGTAAACTTTTATAAACCAATGGTTTAAAAGATAACATGACTGACTGTAAAAATACTTGAATCACTTGTGTCCTATGAAAAAGGCTAGTATAACAGAGGCCATCAGGAAACTTTTTCCACACCTGAAATGGTGCCCCCCACTCCCTGAAACCTCAAAAATTTTCTTGCCCTGTAAGTTCTGAGGATTGTATATTGCTGTTGTCAAAGCATCAAGTGACTAAACATTCTGGAGATTTTCTTAATCTGCTCTTGACTTGCTTTTCTTGATCCTTTCCTCCACATGTAGTCGACGAAGGGAGGATGCTGGAAAACACTTCCTCTTTCCACAAAGTTACTTCCTGTCACTGGAAATTCATTTCCTGCTGTAGCTCCGGCAGCCTCACGACTCAGACTAGTCTGACTTATAGCTCACATTGTGATGATTTGTTTTCTTTGGCTCAGCTTCACATTGTCAGCATTTGGCTTCTGCTGCTTGTTTGTACCCACTGTCTGCCATTCAAAATAAGTTCAATGGAATCACCAATAATTCACCAACCACCAATAAGCTATATATGTTTTAAAATTATGTTTAATTTCATGGTCACATTAAACAAGACATAATTCTAATTATATGACTGTAACACATCAAAAGATATGCTTCAGGTCTTTAAGAGATCACAATCAATATAAAAATAACATTAAAAACACTGAAAGTATCATGGTGTGATAGTGGCAAATATATGATTTAAGACCCACATGGGAAGAGAATATAGGGGCAAAAAGAAGGAAAAATAAAGAAATCTTGGCAGGAAGCAGGCCTGGTTTCCTGTGGAGCTGACACCACGAGTCGGTTTGATACAAGCTCAAGGCCCTCCTCCAGCACACACCACAAACAACACATGGCTCTCCTCTAATCAGAGCCCCAATGTTTGAGTGGTAGAAAAGTTGGATGAGACATGGAAGAAACACACATTAACTTTATTTTCTTGTTCTGTTATTTATTCTCTATATATTTATTTAAATCAGTCATTTCCCTTAATAAACATATTATGTGATATATAAATGTGTACATTTTTCAACACAGTCAGAATTGGTATTATGGTTTTATAGTCTTATTATAGTCTATTGCCTGGCTCTCTCGTCAATCCTATTTTCTGTTTGAATGCAAGAGACTCAGACCACTGTCCAACTTTGGGACAATCCAGTTACTGCTGCTTATTTGTAATGCACATCTCACTAATGCAGAATAGATCTCTCAAAAACCCTTGTAACATTTTGAATGAAATAAATAACTTATTTTATCTTAAAAAATTGTGATCTCATTAATCAGTCACACCCATTGGAAACCGTAGAGACAGGTTTTGGTTCCAGACTAATCTTCGTAAAGTATTTTAAAAGCGTGTGGTCTTGACTGGCCAGACAAGGATTAGTCAATAGTCTGATAAATGAATGCTGTTGAATAACTCTCAATGGCTGTGTATGTAGCAGTCTGAAAATGGGCACACATGTTAGGTGCAAACATTAACCTGTCATAGTCTGTTTCTAATGCCCATTCTTATTATATTTAGGGGT